TCTATTTCTCTAAAATTAAAATAACATACCAATACGTTTTAGGCACCGTGTATGGGTTTCAGTTCGAGTGAACGCGTCGCTCAAAATAATTACGAATCGAGATCTCCGCGTGTATCCGGAGCTTCCCAGCCCTAATGATGCAGACTGCAACGTTTAAACCGTTGGCATACACTGAAAGTGGACGCAGCATCGATCCGGAAACCATGAATTTCAATAATAATTCTGGCCGCGAAAACCTCCAAACTAATATATGTATATATATATATATATACATACATATATAAACATGTGAAAAGGCAGTTTCAAGGAAAGTAACCCTGGGACATGTGGTATTGAAATTTTAACTTAATCTAATCTGACGAACTATTTTTTAGCCATCACACCTGGAAATATCCAGGATCAAAAATTTTTTGAAAAATTCGGTGTGAGTGCCGCCAAACGGTCCTGGAAGCATACGACAGACAAAAGTTTTCCGGGACCGTCCTGGAACATATCAAAAGTCCTGAAAATTGCCAATACGCAAGAAAAAAAGTCCTGGAAATTACCTTTTAACATAAATATATCATGTTAGATTAATATATAATATATTTACTATCTATACCAGAAGTCCCCAGTATCTTTTTATTCTTTGTCTCGAGTATAGCTTTATTTTCCCCAGAGGTCACGTGTCAATCCATATAGTCAAGAGTATTAATATACATAAAGAATTCTGCGTCCCTTTCTATAACAGTCCCGATTTCACAGGATAACGGCAGATCTGATTGGGTAGGTTTTAAAGGGATAAAAAATTATTGGAAAATCATGAAAATCTGTTAACGTAACTCTAACGTTAATCAGTTTCACCGCGACTCCTAAGTCTGCGCTTTTTGCGAAATACACGTAAAATATCCTAGGTGGAGAAATTCAATAAAGGCGATATTGCGTCTCCGTGTTATATGGACTTTTCGCGTATCTATCACTTCTGTATTTTTCTCCACTCTTTCATTTTTCCCGTACTATATGACCCGCCGCCTATCGATGCCTTCGCCATACCCTTTTCTACTTTCTTCTTCTTCTTCTTCTTCTTTTTATCGAGAAATTGACGATGAATCCATTTTATTTTCGTCTCGACGATAAGAGAGAGCTTGTTAGCGAAATACCCGCCACTCATATCTCAACGAAGATCTTAAGTTGGTTACACCCTTTATTGTTAGTGATTGTCAATGAAAAATCCAGCTGATAAGGATGTTGTTATAAACGTGGGATAAAAAGACGGGGTGAGTAGTAAAGAAATATATAATATTATACCATACATGGAGAATATATTAAATTTTTTTATTGACTATCATATTGATTTGATATTATGGTCAATATTATTATATGAATATTCTGATAGATTTTTATATCGATTTGAGATTTGCTTCTAGGGTATGTCAATGAGCTCGGTTGACAGGGTCTCTTTTAGGGGTATCTAACGTCCCCTTTTTTATTGCGTCACTCCTTTTGATGCCTACAGTGAACACGTTTTCGAGGAGTTTACGTCATTCAAGGACACTCTCGAGCGAAAGGGCAGGAGAACGCTAATTCGTGCGCTGAGCACGCCTAATTTATTTCATTAAATGGAATTGGCGAGAGGGGATGATTAGGGGTGAAAGGTCGGTAACGCCTTTCGTTTTACTTCCAAATCAAATATCGGCTTCAATTCGTACAGTATCGATTGGGCGGACTGCAACTTTATGAGACTGTGGATTATTTGAATAGCATTTTTGTATCTTATTGTACCTGGTCTTATGTTAGACATATGATAGGGGATGGAAAGAAATTACTATTTTTTTACATTATCTTTGCGTATCGGACTGGTGACAGTTTTTCAGGCATTCATCATTCCTTACCATGGAGACTCTAGACGTTTTATGGAGACTGATGGAATTCGACAAGCCACCGAATGACGTAGATTAAATAGAAACAGGGGTGAAGGGTTTTTGCATGTAAATTGGAGGACGCAAAGAATATAAGGAAAAACGAATGAACCCTGCGAGAACTATCGTTTTGATAAAATTGAATTTCCTTTCTTACCATGCATCACGTTTCGTTTTACAATAGAATTGTCAAACTTTAAAATTCCTGTCAATTCGTATTCGCAAATGTAACGAAGTGCGAGCGAGAAGATCGTTTTTAAAAAATAATAAATTAATGTACTTTTTTTATTGTTTATCGATGCTCGTATAACATTCGACGAACTTGCCTTGCGAAATAAAGAAGGGGTATTCAATGAGGTATAAGAACTGAGCTTAAAATTGTTTCTCTTTGAAAATTAGAAAGATGGCCATCACGAAATTTACGTGTTCCGGACACATAGAACATTTTCGTTGTCAAAAGTTTTTGTTGTCCCTGATGCAATGAAGGTCGAAAATAATTAGGTCGAATGTTTTCTGTTATCAGACTTTTATTATCGGATTATTAGGCATTGCCGAAGTGGTCGCAAAGAATCGCATAGAAAATTCACGAGAGAGAGGAAAGTAAAAAGAAAATCGAATCTTCAGGAGCTATTATTAGCAATTTTAAATTAATGCGTAAAAGCATCATAAACAAAAATTATTTTCCAATTTTATTACATCAAGAATATACATGTTGTGTATACATATACATATATACACTTTTTTGTTCAACAAAAAGGCCTAATTTTTTCTTTTACTTCCGGTCTTTATGTAGAGATTCGCATTGGACATAGTAGCCTTTGTGGTTGGTGCAACGATCTGAAAAGGAATATAGAAAATATGGCTGCGGCGTTTTACTTAATGCAATAGAAAAAAAAAAATGGAGAATTCACATGTAGCGAACATTAATTTATTGTCGTTGCGACTACTTTGTTTCATATATCGAAATGTGGCGTTGTATTTTGCACAAGCGGGACCTTGTGGTACGACGATGTCTGCAATGGTAACGAACCTTCTGTGAGGGTAGCTTTTAGCTAGCTTTTAGGTTCCCAAGGGTAAAATGAAGTTACTGAAAGTTTTAGTTGTTCGTCAGTTATGTCAGCTGAAGTAAAATGTAATCAATATCGCGACACGCCTTTGAAAGTTTCTTACGAATTCTATTATTACTGTTAAAGTTACAAAATTCATTTCTACAGACCAGATTCGTTCGCGTTGCTATTTATGAGATTGAGTATTTTCAAATGTCACAATTAATTCAAAGCAATTATCAGGATTTTGCACCTACGTTATTGTACTATATGGTACGATAAGTTAAATAGCACGTTTATGAAATACGTGAGTAGAAACTTAGCATGAATGCACTATATGTATAAGTTACAGCAGCAAGGCAATACTAGTTAAGAGGGGCCAGCCTTATGGGACTTTGTGTCTGACGACTAGTGGGCTCAGTGGACACGGGAGAAACTCTGAACAAGTATACAACTTCTGAAGGGGCTTAAAATGCCATACATTACATTTAAGACGTAGAATACATGGAAGTTGATCCTATTTACCAATATCTGTTCGGTGGCTGAAGCTAAGTTTTCGACAGAATTATCTACTGGAGATACGTTATGTAAAAAAGAGAAATATATACATTTAAAAATGCAAATACAAAAATTCTAGAACACGACACATTGTTATTTCGCCATTTCACGCAGGAACTATTGTCAGGTTGAGACGGGTAACAGAAAAGAAAGTAAACAGCTCTTGTAAATACAGTTAATTTTTTGAAAGCATTGATTTCCACGTTTGACCGAATTAAAATTTTCATTAATTAGCCTCGCCTAAATAGTACATAACAAGAATGCTTCTGTCGCTCGTTGTAAATGGCACGAACATATAGATACACAGCCCACGAACAGTGCATAGGATTATACATATAAAGAGACGTAATACATAAGATACGTAAACAGACGCAGAAGTACAAGTCTCATTCGCCATTAAAGTCAGTTTTGTAAAATTCAGGGTCATAGATAAAGTAGGTCACTGTCCCTTTCAGCTTAGTTCATTCGTCGATGGGGTTTTTCGGTGATTTAGTAAGAATTTCTATGAAAGAAAGACACTGGCTGGAGAAACAAAGAACGATTCGAGTAAAAGAGATCTATGGCTACGCAAAGTTCACAAAAATGGTCGTTCGGTTGATTGTGGTAAAACAGTCGGAATTTACGAGGCGAACATGGAAAGGGAATATGATGGTTGCGCCAATGCGCGACAGTGTCGGACGTGTTTTTACTACCATTGATTGTTACAGCTATTTGTTATTGCACGCTCGTAGAAGGCAGACGACCTCTTACAGAGGATCGCGGCCATCTTTTTTTTTCGTTCTATTTTCAAACTTTTAACCTTAACTTCAATCACGTATATAGTATATATATTGTATATCTTGGTATACAAAAGCAATGTCAAAGATACCTTGGAGCTCCCAAACTGCATACTGCGCAGAGACATCTTAAGTACGTACTATACATATATACTATGAAGAGGAATTCTAGTTATACGCGTTCCTTATCTAGACTCATTTCGTATAACCATCTACGTTCTACATTTTCTATGGGATTCATCTGAAATCCTTTGATACATTTGAACATGATTCTAGACTACCAAATTTTCTCTGAAATCCCTCAGGACACCGTTTAACCTTAAATTGTACTACTGCTACTAGTATAGGCTTTGTATCCCGCCTATTTCGTGACTCGACTTCAGTTCAATTTATCGTTTCAGTTAAGCAGGAGTCTAGTAGATAACTATAGAATAGTTGAGCAATAGTTATACGCCAGTAAACCCTTATACGTTTGTTCCTGACAGGATATAGGATTAGCGTTAACTACAGGCAATAAAGCAAAGTGATTCCCTGCGAGTTTCAAGTCTTCCGGATCCAATGAAGAAATACGTATAAGAGAAAGTGTGTGTATAACCTCAAAATGGATAGTGAAGCTTTTGTGAAAATCTGCAGAAATGTTAGCTGACAAGGAAAATGGTAAGGTTAAATATTTGTATATAATTTTAAGGGATTTAAAAAATATTTGTCTCACCATTTTTTTCTGGCTGCTAAACTCCTGGTGCGACTTGTTATGAACTGTATACCAACGTTACGATTCTACGTGTCAGGGTTGCAACCTCTAAGGGCTGTGAAGATACAAGAACACAATATATTTCGCTAGACTGTGGGGTGGCTTATACGTAGGATCCCTATGCGAAGGTCTAACGCGGGGGTTAGCCCGCGTGAGTCCCCGGGACGTTTCTCCTGGCGCTCGGAATCAGCGCTCGGCGAAAACGACGGGCTGCCTTCAGTTCGATACCGGACAGCGCGAGGTGCGCGTCTCTCATCTGGTTTTCACTGTAGCTGCTGCTGCTTCCGTTTAAACGGTGCCTGTTCGCGAACGTGATAAAAAGACAGTGCGTTTAAGGGATGAGGATGTGAAATATTCTTCCTGACTGTAAAGACGTTAACGTGAGTGGAGATTGAGTGAGTGACATTTTTATGCTGAATAATACTTTATATACCATAGGATTTACCGAAGACATTTGTTTGAAGCTATGATAAGTAGTAGATTATTTTTTACATTGAAAGTTTGAATATCACGTTGATACACTTTATTAATGTTTCTTTAGAGATATAATAACTTATATTGTATATTCCTTCTCTCCCTGCGAGTATCTTGAGCGAAAATTGCCTTGGATTTTAAGGTTGAATCGTATTTCTTTTGTCATATTTCTTAAACAAGTTGTTTTCACTGTTTACAAGCAGCAAATAGAATTGACAGCGTTCAGATAGCATCGTTCCATCACATGTTAATTGTTGGAATTTTTGAATTGTTAGAACGGCTTCTTAGTCAGGGTAGCTAAACTGAATGAGTCTTTCGAATTCTCGTTTGGTAATTAATACCAAATTTTAATTTGGGAATTAATACCAAATTAATACCAAATTTCTCAAGTGAGACTACTGGGTTTAATAATAAAATTTTTTATGTCTGTAGAGATTATAATCAGTATGCTCCGTCATATCTCCTAATATAATTGACACTATCAGTAGAATTTTACTCCAGAATAATAGTTGCAAGGAGGAAAAATAATGATACCATAGTTGTAAAATTAAAGTCGCCATACACTCGAAAGTTGCCCGTATTTATCTACACAAGCAGTCGAGATACGTGAGACATACATACACATAGTAGGGAGGTAATTCTTTCTTGGAAATCCCTAGTGCAATTTTACTCGTTGAATATCACGGTATACTAATTTCACTGCTTTTTATGCGAATATGCGTGAAGAAATATACAAGGCATAACTATGCTAGTTTACTAGATGAAACTTTTGCAACTTCTGTCAAGTACCCTTCAGCCCCTACAGCTTTTAACTTTCAATCCTTTGTTTCACAAATGGCAAGAGCCGACATCTTTCGTTAGTTTTTCCAATTATAAAATGTCCAATTTATTTAGCATATTGCTTTGCTGCATGCTGTTAGAGCTTCGACGAAATCGCAAAACTGGAGAAAATATATGCCCTACGAATACAATTAACCAGAGTTAATAAGTTTCTCGATGTCAGAAGATCCCGGAGGATCGGAAACGTCTTTGAAATAGCTGCTGCCACTGTTTGAAATTCCGTACGTATCTTTCTCAATGTTCAGTTAGTAATGCACGTTCCAATTTGTATTTCCCTAGATCCCAGGGGCGGTTGAAAGAGGGGGTACCCACTCTGAGAGCCAGTCAAGATCCGACCTTCGCGTTACTAAATCATTCTCTGGTATAAAATCGGTTAGCACTACTGTATAACCAAGAATTTAGCCCTCTTCCTGAAAATACTTAAATATTCCTGAGGGGAAAGTCTTAGTCCGCTCTCTCCGTTTTATCCTTTATTTTTAATTGCTTACCGTCCCGTCATCCCTAAACCCAAGCCATCCAGCTACCTCCCACCAACTGTCGTAAGGATTTCCACTTCTTTAGAATAATTTATGATCTGCCAAACCAAAGACTAACGCCCTGGAATCTTCTAACTTAAAAGTCGCACCGTCGGCATTGAAAAGTTGCAAACTTGACGATAAAGGGATCCATTTATTACTAAAGTATTTCGTAGTTTATGCGTCGGTTATTTCTGTTTTAAATGAATACAAAGACATGCCTGATGCGTAAATAACTCGGCCATCTTTTATTTTTTCTTCGGTACGTAAAGTCATGAATTCCTCCGGCGTTATATTATAGATACCAGAATCATATAACTTAATATAAAAATATAAGGGATATTTTAAAGCTCGGACTTTCCTTAGGAAATAACCTCGTAAATTTCTTTGAATATATCTCGAGTGGACTTACCTTCGTATAAAATATATAGTCGATTTCCCGATATCAGGAATATTCGAGGAAACGTCGAATGGAGAAGAAATCGCGGGTATGGGCAAATATATAAAAGTTTAAAGGACATACTAACAAGGACGGTGAAACGGGGAGGGGGACAGGAAGGGAAGAGAAAGTTTCATTGGCCCTTGAAAAACAGTAAATACGACGACGTTCGTCCGCTACTGTAAACTTTATATATTCGAATCGTCTTGTAGTTTTTTCCTTCATACGAAATCTATGACAGTTTAGTCCTATGTCACGGTTACAGTACATGCATATACAGGGTGTTCGTTATGAAACGCACTGTAGTAACACTGTTACATTCCTTTTCAAATTCTAATGAATACGTGTATTTTCATTTTTTATTTCATATATCAACATTTCGAGATTATGAAGGTTGAAATTGCAGTAATGCGACCAATCAGAACGTGTTTAAACGGAGCGTAGATGACGTCGCGGGCCAGCCCGTAAGGCCTGCTTACACTAGGCCAATAACACTAAGAGTATCGTCGTTGTGTCCCTGTTTATCTGCATGTAATTGAGTAAGATACAAGAGACGATACTCTTAGTGTTATTGTCCTCCTGTAAGCTGGCCTTGCGGGCTGGCTCGCGACGTCATCTACGCTCCGCTTAAACGCGTTCTGATTGGTCGCATTACAGCAACTTTAACCTTGATTATCTCGAAATTTTTATATATGAAATTAAAAATGAAAATACACGTATTCCTTAGAATTTGACAAGGAATGCAACGGTGTTACTACAGTGCGTTTCATAATCGCGACGTCATCTACGCTCCGCTTAAACGCGTTCTGATTGGTCGCATTACTGCAACTTCAACCTTGATTATCTCGAAATTTTGATATATGAAATAAAAAATGAAAATACACGTATTCATTAGAATTTGAAAAGGAATGTAACAGTGTTACTACAGTGCGTTTCATAACGAAGACCCTGTGTATATATATATATAGTTCCATAGTATATATATAGTTCCATATATATATATATATATAAATATTACTGTGTTTTTTAAGTTTCGGAAGTTCTGAACCACTAGCAGTGGTTATCCGCTCCATCCAAGTTCTTTCCGTACATGAGAGCGAGGAAGAGGTTAGGTTAGGGGAGGGAAAAAAATTACTAGTATCCGGCTGATGCACATGGATAAAAAAGAAGAGGAGGGAGGTGCGGGAGGAGGGACAATGGGACGTGCTTGTCGCTACATAGAATCGTGCAATAAATTTTTTACAAAAAACATATCCCTTTTGAAATATCTCACTCATCCTGTCTGTCTGTTAGATGCCTCTACATCTGTTGGTACACGAAAACCATCCTCTGTTTCGAGAAGACACTTGCAGCTTGAGTACAAAAATATTTTTCTACCAAATGCTCAAAGAATATCCCGTAATGTGTCGTCAGAGGGCACTCTAAAATATTATTTTTTGGACAAACTACTATAAAATTAGCTAAAGATGTATGATAGTGACGTCATAGACATCTAAAATATTTTGAAGGAAGGGGAAACCTATTAAAAATATTTTTGCAACGCTGTACGGAAAGTATACAGTTTGTGCACTAAAAACAAGCACAAAATGGTCCATTCTTGATGAGTTCAGAGTGTGCGGAAATCATAGCATTCCCGCATGATATCTCGTGCGGGAATGTTATGATTCCCGCACACTCTGAACTCATGAAGAATCGGCCATTTCGTGCTTCTCTTTGGTGCATATCCTGCGAACTTTCCGTACATTGTTGCAAAAAACAGTATATGATACGCGGGCGGGTTGATGATTCCTACTCGTGTGAGTCGTCACTCGTCAGGAATCATCAACTTTCCGCACTTGTGTCATAATGTACTATTTTGAGGCTGGTTAACAGTGCTATCTTTCGTAAAAAAAAGCCAGACGGCGTTTTCTTTGAGCATTCGTTACGAAAACTACTTTATCCAACTGGTACGAATGAATATGACTCGTGTGATTTGTGCATTCGTACTAGATAGATAAAATACTATTATTTGATAAGAGGACGAACGATTCACGTCCGAGAAACTATTATTCGTGAAATTCGTAACTAGACTTAGAGACAGTGGCGAGTCTTCGTGATACACTTTTGGGAATTTATGTATGGATAATAATTTTGTGGGAATTGGGTAATCTTGTTAGAGACGATGCTCAGGTTTTTTTTTTTACATCTTATGAGGCTTGACTTTACGACGATCTTGAAAAATGAAGCGCACCTCTGAACCGAGGTCGAGGCTTGTAAGTTATTATTAATAAACGGTCCAGAGCGGGTAGGGGTGGGTCGCGGAGATAGGAGGGTGTATGTGCGCGCGATATTTTTTGACGATAGTGTGTAACGCGTGGACGGGTGGCTTTCAGAAGATACGAAAGAGAAACGAGAAGTCCTGGAATCAAATGTAAAAAGTTTACTTGTACCGTTTTTTTTGTCTTTTTTCGTATTCAGGTAAAAAAATCTGCAACTGCAGTTGCTATTTTGCTACGCAGTTGCGTTAAGAATTTCATTGGACCACTGTGAGTTGATATTTGAGAAAAATATTATAAGTACGTTTGATATGAGCTGCTGGCAACGTTGATTGATTCATTGATTTTTCTTGTACGGTATACTCGCACCGTTGGTATTCGGAAAAAAAAAATATGAAATGACCGTTGTCAATTCGACAACATCGGAAATTGAGATATTTGTTGGAAATACCTGAAAAGTCGAAAATCGCACGAGGGATGATGATGAGGATGATGAAATATTGTGGGGAGACATTTATCAGTGATGATAATTTGATATCAACTAAAAAATGTCTTTACTACTGGATGATAAATCCTGATGCGGAATTTAATGTAATACACATTGTTCAGAGTTGCGTGAGAGTACGTAAGATAATAGGTTTGTGACATTAAAGAAATTCCCTGGGATAAAATTGGTATAGAAAAAAAATCCCTAGAAATGCTATTGCGTTCCTAATGAGTGGGTGAGTTCTTACATTTCGTGGGCGTAGAAAACAAAATTATGAAAAAATGTGTGATAAAGTTCTATAAGGACGCGTGGGTTGTTGAAGTAACGTAAGAACTCATACCGAGCTACCTACAATGGTATTGTATAAAATGGTGACTTTTTTGAA